ACAGATATCAAACTTTTCTAATTTTTCGTTTTTCATAGCTCTAAGTTCCTTTAACCTAAAAGTTTGTTTGGAAGTATAAAGTTTGCATGATCGGTCAAGGGTCGTATTACTCATTACTAAATCATTACTAAATCATTAAAACGGTATGTTTTCAGAGATAGCGAAAGTATGTCTCGAGGAAGGTAACAAAGAATACAGACAAGGAGAAGCTAATAACGCGATAAACTCTTACACGGAAGGACTTCAAGTGAACTGCAAAGATAAACGACTCAACGCCAAGCTTTACAGTAACAGGGCAACAGCTCATTTCCGTTTGGGTAACAATTTAATTTCTAAATATATAAATCTCTCATGCAGCGTTACAAGATAGCAGAATACACAATCTGCATCAAGAAAAGAAAGAAGTTGAGCAACAGCAGAGGAAAAGCACAAATACATGAATCCCCCTTTAGTGGATGAAAATTAAGAAAAGAAATGATTCTCGTTATTAGACTACAATTTAAGCAATTGTAATTTTTCAGGCTTCTTTACTGCAATTTCATTGGATGACAACTTTTTTACACCTCATTTCCTGAATCTCATAGCAAACTACATGGAATGTCTGGATGATGCAACAGTTGCTGTTGAATTGGAACCCACTTTCATCAAAGCTATTAAGAAAGGTAGGTTTTTCAGACATAAGCCATCAAAATTTTATTCTCTGATTTCGTCAAAAGAGGATTGTGTGGTAACTGCACTCCAAGTGTCAATTGTATCTGGTGTGTCAATGTCTGTTATGTGGGTATAAAGCATAAGAAAATGTCAATAAGCTCTCAAATACCGCTGCCTGGTTAGTTCACGTTGTAGAGCGCCGGAGGTCGAGGGTTCAAGCCTTGGACCGGACCATCACCCTGAGTCTTAAAATATCTGAGGGCAGGACATCTGTGACATCTGCAAATGGTTTGATATTCTTTTCAAGGATATGGACGGAAAACTGTGAGCCTCGTTTCCTAAATCTTCTCTGTAACTATTAGCAGGGGACGTTACAAAACCCGAAAAAGAAGCACCTGAAAGATTCCCTATCAACAGTTAAACTGCTCAATGCAGTCTTCCCGAAAACTTCCCCGAAAAATGCTGAAAAGTGCATAACAGCACATTAAAATAAAGAATGCGTGAGATAAATTCGTCGTTATCATAATAAATTGAAGCTTAATTGGTAGCCGCTTTGTATTAGCTCCTTATTGTTCATTTTGAGTTCTTCCACAAGTTCAAATTTCCTTCATTATCACAATTTTTGTTTCCAGCTAAATGACAAATTAAGTCCATTTTATCAATACGTTTATACCTGAACAGTGATAAATTACCTCGCACCACCAGTTATTCTCTCCTTTTCAGGAGCCAGAGCTTGTGTCGAACTTTGCTGGTATAAAGAAGCAAGGAGCTGGTTGCATATGGGATTGACCGTATCCTTTAACGAATGTTTCCAACGTGATACGAGATGCAATGCGAATAATATTTCAAGAATAAAAAAATACGTTCCAGGCAGATTCTTCTACACATAATGCAAGCCATGTTCTCTTATACTGCACTGAGCAGTTTAAAGAAGCTAAAATATTATTAAGGAGTTCTTTCGATTATTCGACGAAACTTTACTTAAAAGAAGAGGCCATATTAACTAATTCCCAGAGTTTCTGCTAAATGCCCCTCGTTTTTGTCTTGAGACGAGCATCACCATGACGACCGAATCTAAACTAATAAATGCGCTTCAGAACTAGTTAACACTCTCGAATAACTTGAAATCAAATCTCTTCAAGAAAACCACACTCGAATTATCATTCCAATTTTAAGGTTTTATCCAATACTCTCATTATTTTTAAAACATATTTCCATTGTATTTTCGCAAATCCGCTCATGATATAGTTACCCTTGACACGTTTTAAGATTGAAAACAATAACGAACGTCTGCTTCAATTAAAAAGGAAATCAAATACTGCACTAAAGGTCAAAGCAAACACTTATGCTAGTCTCGGATGTACTTACCATAATGCTGCGCAGTTCAATACAGCAATCGAGTACCATCACCTTCATCTAGAAATTGCTAAAGAAGTGGAAGACAAGGCCGGAGAGGGAGCAAGTTATGGCAATCTCGGCAACGCTTATCAAGGTCTAGGAGAGTTCAAAACAGCCATCAAGTACCATCAACAATGTCTAGAAATTGCTAAAGAAGTTGAAGACAAGGCCAGAGAAGGAAAAAGTTACTGCAATCTCGGCAACGCTTATCACGGTCTAGGAGAGTTCAAAACAGCCATCAAGTACCATCAACGTGATCTAGAAATTGCTAAAGAAGTGGAAGACAAGGCCGGAGAGGGAAGAAGTTATTGCAATCTCGGCAACGCTTATTGCAGTCTAGGAGAGTTCAAAACAGCCATCAAGTACCATCAACGTCATCTAGAAATTGCTAAAGAAGTGGGAGACAAGGCCGGAGAGGGAAGAAGTTATGGCAATCTCGGCAACGCTTATCAAGGTCTAGAAGAGTTCAAAACAGCCTTCAAGTACCATCAACGTGATCTAGAAATTGCTAAAGAAGCGGGAGACAAGGCCGGAGAGGGAGCAAGTTATGGCAATCTCGGCAACGCTTATCGAGGTCTAGGAGAGTTCAAAACAGCCATCAAGTACCATCAACGTCATCTAGAAATTGCTAAAGAAGTGGAAGACAAGGCCGGAGAGGGAAGAAGTTATGGCAATCTCGGCAACGCTTATCAATGTCTAGGAGAGTTCAAAACAGCCATCAAGTACTATCAACGTGATCTAGAAATTGCTAAAGAAGTGGAAGACAAGGCCGGAGAGGGAAAAAGTTATGGCAATCTCGGCAACGCTTATCAAGGTCTAGGAGAGTTCAAAACAGCCATCAAGTACCATCAACGTCATCTAGAAATTGCTAAAGAAGTGGAAGACAAGGCCGGAGAGGGAAAAAGTTATGGCGATCTCGGCAACGCTTATCAAGGTCTAGGAGAGTTCAAAACAGCCATCAAGTACCATCAACGTCAACTAGAAATTGCTAAAGAAGTGGAAGACAAGGCCGGAGAGGGAAGAAGTTATTGCAATCTCGGCAACGCTTATTGCAGTCTAGGAGAGTTCAAAACAGCCATCAAGTACCATCAACGTCAACTAGAAATTGCTAAAGAAGTGGAAGACAAGGCCGGAGAGGGAAGAAGTTATTGCAATCTCGGCAACGCTTATAACAGTCTAGGAGAGTTCAAAACAGCCATCAAGTACCATCAACAAAGGTTAAAAATTGCTAAAGAAGTGGAAGACAAGGCCGGAGAGGGAAGAAGTTATGGCAATCTCGGCAACGCTTATCGATGTCTAGGAGAGTTCAAAACAGCCATCAAGTACCATCAACGTGATCTAGAAATTGCTAAAGAAGTGGAAGACAAGGCCGGAGAGGGAAAAAGTTATGGCAGTCTCGGCAACGCTTATCACGGTCTCGGAGAGTTCAAAACAGCCATCAAGTACCATCAACGTGATCTAGAAATTGCTAAAGAAGTGGGAGACAAGGCCGGAGAGGGAAGAAGTTATGGCAGTCTCGGCAACGATCATTGCAGTCTAGGAGAGTTCAAAACAGCCATCGAGTACCATCAACGTGATCTAGAAATTGCTAAAGAAGTGGGAGACAAGGCCGGAGAGGGAAGAAGTTATTGCAATCTCGGCAACGCTTATTGCAGTCTAGGAGAGTTCAAAACAGCCATCAAGTACCATCAACGTCATCTAGAAATTGCTAAAGAAGTGGGAGACAAGGCCGGAGAGGGAAGAAGTTATGGCAATGTCGGCAACGCTTATTGCGGGCTAAGAAAGTTCAAAACAGCCATCGAGTACCATCAACAATGTCTAGAAATTGCTAAAGAAGTGGGAGGTAAGGCTGGAGAGGGAGGTAGTTATGGCAATATCGGCAACGATTATCAAGGTCTACGACAGTTCAAAACAGCAATGGATTACTATCAACGCACTCTAGAAATCGCTCAAGAAGTAGGAGACAAGGCCGGAGAGGGAAAAAGTTATGGCAATCTCGGCAACGCTTATTGCAGTCTAGGAGAGTTCAAAACAGCCATCAAGTACCATCAACGTCATCTAGAAATTGCTAAAGAAGTGGGAGACAAGCCTGAAGTGGCGCGCTCACTCTGTTTCCTTGGAAACCATTTTGAGTGCCAAGGAAATCTCATGATGGCCTTTGACTATTATTATTCCAGTGTAGAATTGTATGATGATATCAGGGCCAGTCTTCAACTCAACGATCAGTGGAAGATTACTTATCGTAATCTTTACCAAATAGCATACAAAGGTTTGTGGCGTATAAATCTCAAACGAGGTCAAGCTCTAAAGGCTCTTCTTGCCACAGAGAAAGGACGTGCTCAAGCTCTGAGAGATCTCATGACCACAAAATATCAGCCTGGAGATTCTTTAACGGAAGGCGCATCCCACATTTCTCTGAGGTGCGTTACATTGAGTACAGTTTTCATAGCTATTAATGGACCATGCGTTTACTTCTGGGTTTGCCTCAGTGAAGATAACATCCAGATGAAAAAGGTACACGTCAACGATTATAAGTTTGAGGATGAATTGGAACGTTTCATCCAGCTGCTGAACGAAACTACTCTGAAGGAGATCCGTGAAAGAGATACTGTTAAAATCGAAAATCTTCCTCCTGATTCGCCGACAGAAGAGGAAAAGGCCAATGATGTGATCCGAGTTGATGTGAGGCACTCCCAATCAAGTGCTTTAAAGAAGCTGCATGACATTATCGTTGCTCCTATTGCTGACCTGATCGAAGGCAACGAGATAACATTCGTTCCTGAGGGGCCATTTTGCCTTGTACCTTATGCAGCGTTGCTGGACTCCAAGTCATCATATCTGAGTGATTCTTGCACAATTCGTGTGCTTCCCTCTCTGACGACGTTGCAACTAATTCATGATTGTCCAGCTGACTTTCACATCAAGACTGGTGCATTGCTTGTCGGCGACCCATGTTTCAAAGATATCATCTATCAGGGAAGACGTTTGGAACAACTTCCAGGAGCAAGGGAAGAAGTGGAAATGATCGGACGTATCCTCAATGTTCCCCCCTCACTGGAGAAATGGCAACAAAACATGAAGTTTTAAAACGAATATCATCAGTGGCCTTAGTTCACATAGCAGCACACGGTAAAATGGAAACTGGAGAAGTTATCCTAGCGCCAAACACCACAAGAGAAAACCCTCAGCCGCATGAGGAAGACTATCTACTGACGATGAAAGATGTCATAGAAGCTGGGTTGCGAGCTCGTCTGGTTGTACTTAGCTGCTGTCACACTGCTCGTGGGGAAGTCATGGCAGAGGGTGTGGTGGGCATGGCGCGTGCACTTTTGGGTGCCGGTGCTAGATCTGTTGTGGTAACCTTGTGGGCGATTGGCGACGAGGGAACCCTGGAGTTCATGAGTTTCTTCTACGATGCACTTGCCAAAGGCAAGAAGGCAAGTGAAGCTCTCAATCAGGCCATGAAGTGTATGAGAGAAATTGAAGAGTTCAAGGAGGTGATTTACTGGGCACCATTTGTACTCATTGGTGATGACGTCAACCTGGATGTCAAGGATATTAGAAGCCGAAACAAGTAAATATTCTGTTTATACATTCTATTCAATACAAAGTTACCTTAAATCGTAATTATAGCTTATCTATGAGCAATGATATTTGCGTGTTATTTTCCTTTCAGTTGGGTTACGATATTTAGTTTTTGCTCCGGCAAGTTGAGATGCAGTAAAATCAAGAGGACACGTTTACGATGATGACATTCTTTTTAGGAAACCTGATAGGAGTAAAAACGCAAATTTCTTTAAAACAATCCTTTTGTGCAATGTATCGTTTCATGTGCTATGAAATATTTTATGGCAACTCAGCTATCCTTCCTAAACTTAGATTCTTTTATTTTTCAGTTAAGGCAGTGAGCATTGGAGCCCCAAGGAGTTTTAGAATACCCGCAAACGCTGATATTTGGACCATAAACCAGTAAGCTACCGATTAAATATTTTTCAAGAGTCTTCTTTTCAAAGCAGGAAGAACCAAAAGGCGACTAAAGTCAAGTGTAACAAGAGAACGGATTTTCATTGATTCAAAAGTTGACTTTTTCCTTATCTGAACTGCTTTTAAGAGCTTGATCTTTTATGTTCAGCTGAAACTACTGGTTTTTTTCACATAATGTCTTGAAATTATCATGAGTATCTATACAAAAGTTAATTTTTAATCTATGTATTACCTACTAAGCGGATTTGGGCGTTGCATTGGCGTCGAAGTTGAAAAGTCTTGAAAACGTTTCCAGAGTTTTTTAGACTTTTACTCAATCGGTTTTTTTCTCATGAGTGATGTAAAGCTGTTACAGCCATGTGCGTGTGTGGAGAATTTCCATGGAAATTGGAAAATAATCAGTTGTCCGATTGCTCAATTATCTTAGTTTATGCCAAATGGGAATTGTGAGTAACTTTTCGATGATTTGTACCCAGTCATTGGTACTTAAAGTTAGTTTCTACTGATCAGAATTTGGTTTATCTAGACTTAAAATGACAGATTTTGGCCGTAATGGCAAGGATTTAGTCTTGGTATTACTTAATTTTCTGAGATTTCTCCTTTAATTTTGAATGCGATAAATTGTGTTCTTTTTTACAAGACGATCGTTGCATTTTAAGTATATTTTTTAAACTAATCGTCCGAAGGCAAAACGAGTTTTATCTTAATTTTAGTTACTGGCGTACACGGCACTAAAAGAAGCTCAGAACGAGCTAGAAAGTTGGAGCCAAATGATTTCATTTAGTTTCTCCGATTAGATTGTTTACTTATTATCTAAGTGCAATAAACTAACTTTTAAATGTCAAACAATGAAACAAGTCGCTTGGTTTTTTGTTAGAATGGAAGAGGAAATCAATGACAAAGGGAAGAAAATTTCTGCATCAACCTGCATATGCCATTTCTTGTCGTTTGAAGTAGTGAGCGCGCCTAAGTCTTATTCGCTTAATAACTTTTGCTCATTTCTTTGAATAAGTTTACTGAATGAGAGATAAACTTCGATGTTTTCTGACTCTATAACTGCTAATATCCATCTCGACGCACTTCTTTAGCACGTTATGCGACAGATATGATGTTTTGTTACATCTTGTCGTTTGAAGTAGTGAGCACACCTGTGTCTAGTTCGCTCAACTATTGCCCATTTCTTTGGATAGAGTTGTTAAGTAAGATAAAGACCTCGATTTCTTTTCAGATTTTATAACCACTAGATTCATTGGCAGCCGTTCCTTAGGATGTCACGCGACGCGCTTCTGTAAGCATGTAAAGCGACATGATGTTTTGTCATATATCTTTGAAGAGGCAAGAAAAAAGAAATTACCTTTCACTTTGGGAGATGATGCTTTATTCCATTTATAGAAAGAGTCCTCATCATGGGTACCCTAGGTCGGTGTGGTTCCTCGAGTGTAGAAAATATTGATAAATTTTTTTTCCACGAGTTCAAACTTAACTAAAACAGCTTAACTTACTTAAAACTGAAGAGGGCCGACCGAGGAGAACTTCGGCTAACGATTAAAATTTTGGCCATTTTTCTGCTGCGGTTAACTCAGAATAGCACAAAATAACACTTTGTAGGAAAGAAAGATTTCTAAGGTTAATTTTTGCTATAACTAAGGGTTAAAATCTATCAATTTTACGCCTAAAAGCTAGTTTTTTTACCGATTTACGGCTAACGGTTAACCCTATGGGGACCCTCGACTGAGTAACGTGCAAGATGTGAAATGAAAACGGTTTAAGAGGGTGGCATTTTCAACTCAAATTTGGAATTAGACCTTTTAGGGAAAAACAAGCCGTGGAAAAATCCTGGAGGTGAGGATTAAACTAGGAGAGACGGGCATGGGGAGAGCGTTGACGCCACGCATTCCTTTTCTGTTCAATCTGAGATGCTTAATGAAGCTCACACAAAAAAATTAAATATATCTTTCGAGATATTCACCGACGTCAAGGCGAGCAGGGATAAATTTCCTCCCCTCTTTAGCACCTTGTACCGGATCTGAAAAGTCAGTAAGCCCTGATATTTTGACTTCACCGCAGATCTAAAAAAACTGCGACAACGTAAATGTTTCGGCAGAACATCTCTACTGACGATAGCATATATTACAATCATTTAAAAAAAAAAGATCCATGGGAAGGGGGAAGGATGAGTCGAGGGTCCGTTTATCCCCCCAGGTTGGGAGTGTAAACAGCTACGTGGTTTCATGGGTAGCATCTCCGGACGGATTCTCGAGAATCTTAGACCTACGATTTCAGAAGGTAAAGATAAGAATTTCTCTGAGAAATTGATAGACTTAGGCTTCTTTCGTCTTCTTAAATTTTCTCCTCGTGCTACATAACTCAACTCCATCTACCCACCCTACAGCGGTTTTTAGTATATACCACACAGGTGAATAGAGCTCTTCGCGTGGGCTGATTGGCTAATTCAGAATTAATAGTCGAACCTGTAGTAAGCGGTCGGTTGTAAAATTCCCGAATTTTTTCCTCTTATGCACTGTGACTTTCACCACTTTTTAGTGGTGGTCTCTATTAAGCGGTTGTGGTCATCCTTGACTGAGTCCCATCGGCCTATTCGGGTTGTATGGAACGGTCACTTAGGGCGGAATCACTCGAATAAAACGACGAATTCTCTCTGAAGTAAAATTTATTCCATGTTTGTCTCCCAAAATCAATGTTAGTATTTAGAGTTCAAATATCCTCAACGCATTGTAGATTATCTTTCTTCTCAGGACTGTTTGTATCTAACAAATATTACATAAGAAAATTACGCAAATTATTTCCTTAGTAATTACCAAGAGGTCTGGCCGTTAGAATTCTTATTGATCGTTCTGTTTTTACGCTGCATCATCGTTTTGTTGATGTTATTCGATACATTTTTGAGCCATTTTTTAAAAGAAGCTTCACTTGAAAGAGAAATGATAAATTATGGTACAAAATGTTGTTTTCTTGTCTTTTCTTGGTGACCTGTATTAAACGATGATAACACTCTGTTATAACACTCAGTTACGGGTTAAAAACGGTTGCTCGATTGTGCCGTCCTCGTGAATTTGTGAAAGAATTAAATGGTTAGTTATGAGACAAAAAAGACGAGTTCCTTAATGTCATTACCCTCTGGAGTGTACGCTGGTATTTTCGCAAGTTCACGCCGAGATTCCCACGGGACACCTGTCGGGATCTCTCTCGGGATGCCGGTGAGGAGATTTGTACCAGGGAGCCAGCGGGAATTCAACCGGGATCCCCGCGCGGATAAAAACGAGCAAACAAAATTGAATGAAATCCGGTTTCGTCAGTGGTCCCACCAATCCAATATTTCACTTCCTCCTCACTTTCCACTTCCGCTAAGTTTTTTTCGAGAAAGATCAGAGGTCTCCACGACGTTGGAGTTCGCTAATTGTATATGAATACATTCGCAAGTGTGAAAGAAATCGGCCTTCGCCAAAACACTCGTGTGGCTAATGCTCACAGCTGTCTGTCAACTACGTATTCTTTCTTGCCGCTAGTTCTTTGCTCCTCAGTTCCAAACCCACACCATCCTTCCCAAGTCTTTCCCCTAATCACGGACCTCAATAATTCACAACATTATTTGGTATCGTGCGCCAATTTTTACTTTTCTTACTTTCATAATAGTTAAAGGAAAAAAACAACGACAACAACAAAAACCAAACAAACAAACAAACGAAAAATAAAAACCAAAAAACTTCCGCTTAAAACGCCTAAGCAAACCGCAATATTTATTTATTATTTTTCTCTTCTTTTTCCTTCCTATATACTTGGCTTTTAGCCTAACGTAAACTGCTTGCTCTTTTTGTATGTATTACTTTCCAATACCTGATATATTATCTTAAAAAAAACCCATCAAATTCAAATGTACCAAAGAGAATTAATCAATATTTAGAACCCATTATCGTTTACAGAGAAATAGACTCACAAAAAAACTCATCTTAAATTGCAAATGTTACCATTTGCCTCTCCATGTTTGCCAGATAAAATAATTCCCATTTCCGAAGCCAGCAATAAAAATCCACAATAGCCCTTCTCCATCTACCCGTCTCACAGCGGTTTTGAGTATATACCACACAGGTGAATAGTGCTTTTTGCGTGGGCTGTTGGTTTGGTGATTATCGCCTGCGCGTGTATCAACTCGGGAATCGACTTTCCAACTCTAGCTTGAAAAGAAACATTTACACTTATAGTGGTTTTTTAGCATATACCATATTGGTGAATAGAGCTCTTCACGTCGGCTGATTGGCTAATTCAGAACGAATAGTCGAACCTGTATTAAGCGGTTGGCTGTTAAATTCGCGAATTTTTTTTTTCCTGTTAAGCTCTGTCACTTTCACCGCTTTTCAGCGATGGTCTCTATAAAGCGGTTGTGGTCATCCTTGACTTAGTCCCATCGGCCTGTTCGGGTTGTACGGAACGGTCACTTAGGGCGGAACCACTCGAATAAAACGACGAATTGTTTCTGAAGTAAAATTTATTCCATGTTTGTCTCCTAAAATAAATGTTAGTATTTAGGACCAGTTCAAATATTATGCAAGAAAAATTTGCTGGGTAATTACCAAGAGGTCGCATCATCATTTTTTGAAAAATTTTTGAGCGATTTTTTAAAATAAACTTAACATTAAAATGATAAATTATGGTTTAAAAAGTTGTTTTCTTGTCTTTTGTTGTTAACCTGTATTAAATGGTGATAACAATCAGTTACGGGTTTAAAACGGTTGCTCGATTTTACCGTCTTCGTATGAAAGAATGAAATGGTTTGTTAAAAGACAAAAAGACGAGTTCCCTGATGTCATCACCCTCTGAAGTATAGGTCGGTATTTTTGCAAGTTCCCGCCGAGATTCCCACGGGACACTTGTTGGGATCTCTCTCGGGATGCCAATGAGAAGATTTCTACCAGGGCGCCACTGGGATCCTGGCCCTGATAAAAACTAGCGAACAAAACTGAATGAAATCCAGTTTCGCTCGCAGTCCCACCAATCCAATATTTCACTCCCACCTCACTTTCCACTTCCTCTAATCAGAGGTCTGCACGATGTTGGAGTTCGCTAACTGTAGCAAGCTGTTAGACAAGGGAGACTGAAATTGAAGCACACTCAGTTTTCATTGGTTGATTCGAAAATGGCAGATAGTTCAGAGAACAAAACTTTGCAGGAGTAATTACAATGCTGTCGATATCTTCATGAAAGCGCTTCAGTAGAAAATTAAAAAGTTAATACATGATAATGCAGACACAGGCAGGAACAAGCTGTCTGGCACAGACACCCCAACTTTCAACCCACATTCCCCACTTTCAGTCATAAATTCAAGTGTGAAGTGAAAAAGACAACTGCACTTTATTTCCAGAAAATAAAAAAAATTAAAAATTAAAAGAATTCCTCGTACAATTTCAGAAGAAATAACTAAGCAAGGCCTACTCTTATTTAAGACACGGAATAGAACGAAAAGGAAGATCTGTAATTTTAGAAAGAGAGATTTTCAATTTGCAAAAGAAGAATCCGTTAGAGGGTCTATTAGAAACCTCAAAAAAAAAATCATCCACCACCGCAAAACCAAAAAAAAAAAAAAAAAACAAACAAACAAAACAGCATCAATAAAAACAAAATTGCGTTAAAAACCGAAAACCGCATGCAAAACCATCAAAACATATAAATGTTCACATCCCAGTTCTCGAAACCTTAATCGATCCGATACAGTGTTGACAGGTGAAGCACACAGAGGTTTCGCGGCTATTCGAGATCAGTGGAGGCGCATAATGACCGCTTGGATCGAAGAGAAACCGGAATGCAAGTAGGAAAATCCGAAAACCACATCAGAGATCAAATCCGAAGCCTATTAGATAAGTATTTTTGACGAAAACCGAAAACCAAATGCAAAAGAACAGAAAACCCGTTAACCACAATGAACACGCAATCCGAATTGAACCGAAATTCTTTGGCAAAAAAGCCGATCTTGAAAAAATATCGAAAATTGTAATGCCCCCCTTAAGGATGAAACAGTCAGGCACAAATCAAACAAATGATGACACAACAATCATTATTATCGCTGAAACCTTCACGAAAACTTTTTTATTATTACTAGTTTTGAATCAGAAACATGCTGCAAAACAACTTTAGTCACGCGATATTTTTTCAGGGAAGGTGTCATGTCACGCAATCGAATTATTCATCGACTACGAACATCGATGCTTGACACCTTGTAAATTGCACAGCTGCAGCCTCACGGAATTTTATGTTGAATTATAGATTTTTATGTTATGGCTAAATGACACAGTCCTTCCTTTAAACACAGAAGAGGAATGGTATCTTTGCGAACGTAGTGAAGATTCAGCAAAGAATACCACAGAGATGTTCATATTTTTTTCTATAGAGTCATTTTATATTACACAGCAGAGTACGTACCCCTGAGAAGTGTTCTTCGCGGATCTATTTGCCATTTTCAAAGCAATCTAGCGGGGCAACTGCAAGCGGTTCAACCTCCCTCGTCTGACAGCTCCTTTCATTTGGTTCCGTGAATTTGAATTAGATTATGGTTATCTTATGACCTATTGTTTTTTTCGGAAAATTAGCGGAAGAGAAATAGCAGGAGTCTGGAAGCTAAGTTGGTGACCGCTGACTGAAGTACAGGACATTTTCAAAGATGGCGCGAAATGTCGCAGAGTGATGTGAACACTTCGCCATACTGAAATGGTTTGTTAGTCGTTTTAGTTCTCAGCGGCAGTGTTTAACCGGTGTTTCAGTTATAATTACATATTTTTGTACAGGATATTCGATCGTTCTTCCGCCCTACTGGAAAGACAGCGAAGCAAGGCGCTTCGAAAGTAGAAAATTAGCGCGGGAAAGATTCTACAGTGAAGTCTTTATCGAAACAAGATGTGGGAAAGAGTCGAACGAAGGTAAGTAATGGTTTATGTAGCATTTGAGAGAGAAAGATATTTGTGTTATCAGGGAATTCGACTTCAGAGGTGACGGAGTAAAGATCTGCCCATATCACAGCCCCTGTCTGACTGAATCGATCATCATGTGTGTCTATATACACGGGAGCAATTCACATTTCCATCTATCTTCTCCGGGGGAGGGGGGGGCACCTTATTTCGCCAAAATTGGTATTTATTGCCATACATGGTAAAATTTCCTTTGTCATGAATCTTTTATTTAGCACATGGTAAGTAATTTTACAACATGTTTTAACCAAGAGTTTCATTCCACTACATATTATTATATCTAACCAGAGGTATCTTTCTGGACTGGAATATGAGAAATGGTGTGGTACTGTGTGTTAACTAACTTTGTAGGTATAATTTTCAATAGTTTGTCGGAGCATGTCAGGGTAGCTGAGTGAGGCTGATAAGTTACAATGTTTTGCCTTTTTTCTTTTTTACCCTAAACAGGATTGTAAAATGAAGTTTTTGTATTCATCTTTTAACTCCTAAGATCTGTTTGCTAATTCTCCCCTCTAATTGCTACACATTTCCTTGTACATTTGTTATAGGAATTTGTTCTTAGATCAAGATAAAAACTTCTTTCATAACCCTTTTGTTGGACATGGTATGGATAGTCTTGGGAGGAGTTACATGTTAATCACATCTGGGAGTTTAAGGGTTAAACAGCATGATGTGATACACTGCTACCTAAATTTCTCTCAAGTTCGAAATATCTTGGACATTAGCATTCCCTTCAAATTTGTTCAAACCACAGCTTACTAATGCTGCAGAGTAGTTGCAGTATGTAATACTAATGAGTATTTAATGATTTTGACAAGTACTACATGTAGTTAATCTTTCATTTACTCAGACTGAAGGGAAAATAAAATTGTTGATTAACTTGAAAGGTGATTGATAAAGCAACCTTGAGACTTCACCTAAACCAGACTATTAAATTTTTTTCACAAGCCTGGTGTCTTCTCTTGATTTTTTGAGCTGGTAGAAAAAAGATGTCTTGTAAGAAAGTTGTGCTCCAAGGAACAACACCCCCCCCCACCTTGATGTTATCCAGTTGTTATTGTTTGGTCCAAAGAAGTGAATTTATGTCTTTATGTCATGTTGTGCAAATAAAAATATGTAATTGTTAATTTGCAGGGCAAAGTTTATCAAGCAGTGAAGATGATGACATTGCCCAGAAGCAAAAACCGAAAGAAAATCAGAAGAGGAAGAAGAAAGTAAAAAACATTACTGACTCAGGTAATGTTTTGTGAAGAACATGAAGAGATTTTGAGGCTCTACACGTACTGTTACACCTCTGTATTTGTCTGAATGGCTTTAATGTAAGTTCAGCAGTTGTACATACTGTAATTATATGTATGACATCACAATTATATCCTGACCTCATTTCTGAATTAATCTTACATCTCTGTTAGATTCCAATGAAGATCCTCTTCCTCCAAAACTGAGGTATGCGAATTTTTTCTTGAGTTTGGTTCCATTTTATACAGTTGTAGTTAAACTCTTTGACCCTAATTTCAAGTGTCAAGGAAATGATCACCAACTATGGAAGCTCTTGATTATTAAACAAATTCTCCTTGTCAGCACCTTAGAAAATGCATAGAGAACAGTATGGAGAATATGGATATATATTTTTAGGTGACTGAGTTCTACAAAAGAGTTTAGGGGACTCTCCTTATTGATTAAGTGAGAGGGCTGGATAGGAAAATATTCAGTGTGAGGTGAGCTTGGGGTAAGATGCGGTTTTTTGTTTTTTTTTTTTACATCAGGTGACCTTTAACCTTGCTTATGTACATGTAATAGCTTGCAAAAGAAAACAAAGCCATTCTCTTTAACCAGGCTTGAGCACACTTACAATTAAACCTGTCTGCCCTAAATAGGATCTGAATATTACAGCACTTAAGTTATATTTTGATGTTGTTCCTACAGATGAGGAAGAAGTTGTGCCCAGGAAATTAAAAACGTTTGCCTAACAGACAGACAATGTAGCTTCTAAAGAGGTCCAGCAAGTTAAAGAGAGGTATCTTTCATCGTTCTCTTTCATTATATTTGACATCTCAGCACCAAACCATGGTGTTCATTTAGAACATAAGATATTCCTCTGGAGAACCATCTGGCTTCTTCTAAAATTATCCAGCTAAATTTTATTTTTTGTCTGTTTGTTTGTTTTTTTGCTCTCATCCATCAGGCATCGAGAATGTTAGATCTGTCATAGGACACTGCTCTCATGCTAATACATTTAACCTTTTGACTGTGAAGAGTGACCAGCATCTAATTTCTCTTTACAATATTCCCCCTGAATCAAACATTAACATGCATTGCTTTTTTTGTTGAAAGTAAGTTATTTAAATGGTCTTCTTTCACTGGAGCTTCTTTTTGGCGAAAGATGATTCATAAAAATTTACTGCACATTGTGTTTGCTTTTCCAGTTTCTCCAAAATTTTAACTTTTGGATAGGCACATGTTACACACAGGTGTCAAGGTTAAGGGCACAAGAATAAAGGAAATGATCACCAACTAAGCTCTTGTTTGTTAAATAACTTCTCCCTGTCAGTACCTTAGGAAATGTACATGTATATCAGTCAAACCTAAAGGGAAAAAAAACAACTTCTGCACCTGATTTCTTTGGTCCTACACCAGTTGAAAGGGAATCCAGGAAAACATTTGCTAATGAAAGAAAACAGGTGAATAACTAACTACACTTTTTTCACCCATTATTTTTTTTGTAAAGAAAAATTCAGGCATCATGCATTTAACAAGGAAAACTTTAAACCTCACCATACCTTGCCTTTCTATAAAATTCATGCGTCATATGTTAATTTTGGGCTTCATCATGTATTTCTTGTAAACCCTCTGCCAATCTCTTATACAGTAGTTATATCAGAATGGACTACGGTTCACACATACCATGCCACAAAATTAACGGATATAATGACCAATGTTTGAGTCATGCATTATTTAATCATATTCAAGATACTTTGTGGATGGGGAGAGGAGATGTTGGAGAATAGTTTTGGCAAAAACAACACCATGGGGTCCCTGAAAGGGATAAGTTCTTTTGCTCTTAAGATATCTAAATCAACTCTCTTCACTGTCTGTCACACAAGTGTTATGAAAATATCTTTGAGAATATGTTGTTCAATCAATAAATATCCTCTTGTCTGAGGATTTTCCTTCCTATATTACATTGCTGTTTGACTGTGAATTGGTATTGTTATGAGAAATTAGAAAATTGATCACTTTTGAGAGTGCAAATTTTAAGCTTGATCCAGAGCTCAACCCACTTAATGATCATCCCTTAATTCCTTGTAGAGCAAGTCAATAATTTTTTATCCTTTTTCATTTCCCACAAAGATCTGACAAGTCTGAAGAAAATGAAGACTCCAGAGTGAATAGAAAAGAAGAGTATAAAAATGGGAGAGAAAAAGAAGGAAGAGAAAATGGGAATGTCAACCATCACACAACAGAGCAACCATCAAAGAAAAGAAAGGAAGACTTCTCAGAATCAAAGTCTGAGGTTAAAAAGCCTTCCCCTGAGAAGAAAAAGGTTTGTAAGCCTTTTGATTACCATACTTTATTGTTGCAAAATTAATCATTACTATCAATGCATTAACCTGCTACCCTGATACTAGAATGGATTGGATCTGATATGATTGCATGTGTATGGTAAGTGTTATCAAGCACTTGAATAAGGTACTTGTAGATGAAACAGTAACATTTTATGACTAAATTTGGTTTTGTATGAGATCCAAAAGCTTACTCAAACTTGTTAACTGGTGGTACATTTGCATGTTGTATATACATTAACCTGTCCTACTATGACAGTGGATGGTTTTTACTCAGATGCACATTATTAACAATAATTGCAACAAAACATTACTTACAATACTAACACTTCTCAAAATACTACAATTACTGTACCTAGAATTTATACTGAAAACAGTAACTATAGTCACAAAACTTTCAGTTACATTCTTGGTGACCTTAAATTTGACATTCTGGGAAGATGCTGCCTCTTTGTCTCCACTATTATTTTAAAGCAGCAGTGTCTTTCACCATCAACATTCCTCTTTGGGACAACTCTTGCCTAAACTAGACAACTCTCAGTTGTTAGAATGTTTGATATACATGCAACTTTTGTTCACTTCAAATTTTATCCATGGACATTTTAGGAAGTACCAAAGACAACTCCTGCTAGCAAACTGGCTACCAAAGCTGCCACAGTTCCAGAGACTCTAATAAGAGACTCAAAACCAAGTCCAAAGAAAACTGTTACTCCAAAAAAGGATGAAAAAAGATGTCTGTGAGGAAACTCCAATCAAAGGAACACCAAAGCTGTCAAAATCAGAGGAAGTGGTTGAAGTTCCACCCTCATTGGAAAAGAAAAAAAATCAGGCTACCATAGTTTTATGGCAAGAGATGGTCCTAGGACACTTGGTTCAAAGGAAATCCTTCAGGTAGGTTTTGAAGTCCAAGATCTGATTGTTAATTCTCCCCTCTAGCTGCTAGATGTTTTCCTGTAAAATAATAATGAGAATTTCTTATTACATCATTATTAAAAGGTTTATTTTCAGGCTTCCTTTCTACCTATTCCCTCACATGTAAAATGTATGCTTTGATTGAGCCTTTTACTCCCAAGATCTTTATAGTAATTCTCCTTACTGTCTGCTGTACAATTCTTGTGACATTGGTTGAGAGAATTTGGTCTTAGATCAACTAATAATCCCAAGATTGATATTTGTATTTATTCTCATGACTTGTCTGCATGATATTGTATCTATATTGTAAGGAGAAGTTCTGTCTTGGTCACTCATAGGAGTTAAAGGGTTACAAGAATTATATTTTATCCTTTTACTCTCAGTTGTTTTACAAATGTTGGATCAATATCAGTATCTAAGAAACTGCACACCTACCCCTCCCTTAATCCAACATTAACTGTTATCAGTTGACTGTTGTTGGGTTAGGGGAGGGGTAGGTGAGCAGATGTTTAGATACTGACATTGATCCCAAATGTTTATGGTGTATCCTCAAAGGTTTTTCACTTTTTCACCATTTATAACTTTTCAGTTTGGACAGTATTAACAGGTCTTCAAGGGAAGAATTAATTATTTTTCTGCGCCTTCTAATCATGCTTGCACTTAATAATTTAATTTTTAGAGAGCGGAAAACTGTTCGGATGAACTGACAGTTGTTATTAAGGGAATCTTGGAAAGTATCGAGAGAGTCAGGAGGCTGCTGATTTGATTCAAAGATGTGGTGGAAAAGTTACCCAATCAGTGAGCAAGAAAACAAGTTATGTCATGGTGGGACAGGATCCTGGAGAGAGCAAACTTTCTAAGGTACATTGTAATGCACAGCTGAAAACAGGAAGGAAAAAAAAAAAAGCACCATGAACAACAACATATAAGCTGCACCTTTTTCCCTAAATTGTCATAACAAATCAGGGGTATGGCTTACTCTGAAGTCACTAGGGAAACTTGCCACAAATTTGTACTAATTAACACAATTCATTGAAGTCATCAATGAAATTTCATAGGAGCCACAGACTAGTGTGCAACTGATAACATAATTTGTTCATCCTCATTTCCCTTCTTCCATCTACTTTTATCTATCTATGGGTTTGTCCATTGTTCCTTGCTGTTATCTTTCTAGCAGTCTGTCTGTCTGTCTGTCTGTCTAGCAGTCCATCTGTCTGTCTGTCTAAAGGGGGTAAGTTTTTTAATAAACTGTGCTGCTGCATCAGTGGGGAGATTAACAAGATAATGTGGTTTTATCAACTGAGTTGAGAATTTAGGATGGCCTTCCTAAAATACTTTCTAAAGCTAATGTTTCAAGCATTAGCCATCCGCTCTGAGGAAGGGCTTAAGGTTGAAATATCAGCATTAGAAACTCTTTTTGGTGGCAAATTTACAGTATCACTCAGTTTGTCTGTCTGTCTGTCTGCTCTTTTGTGTGTGTACATTCATCCAATTACTGTCTTTCTATCTGTCACTCACTCTGCTCTTTCCCTCTGTCCATTCACCCACACCTCAGTTTTACCCTAAATTCCACCTTTGAGTTCATCTGTTGGTTCATGTATCTGTTCTTCCACCTGTAGACTTGTTTGTGTCACTTAAACTGAGTTACAAGACAGTATAGTTTTTGTTTAACCCTTTACACCCTAACATCAGTATGCATATTCTCCACACTGTTCTCTCTGCATTTCCTAATGTGCTGGCAAGGAGAATTTGTTGAACAATCAAGAGGTTCTTCAGTTGATGATCATTTGCTGTATTCTCATAACCTTAATGTTTGATTCAGGGCTGATATTGAAAGGAGAAATTAGATGTTAGTCAGTCTCAGGGATTAAAGGGTTCATCTACATAAGATTTTGACAGTAAAGGTCATTTTGTTTTTGTGCAGGAGAACCAAGTGTGTTATGGGTAGACAAATGTCGGCCTTGCGCAGTGAAGCAGATTATTGGTCAGCAGGGTGATAAGAGCAACATGAGAAAGCGGATAAACTGGCTGAGAGACTGGGGAAAAAATTGAAAGAACTCAGCCTCTAAATGTGAGTGCAAGTGTATTTGATTGTCAAGATGCTTTGCCCTCACGAGTGATTAAAAAAAAACGGACGACCGCGAAGTGGGAGTCCGATTTTTAATCACGAGTTAATCTACTCAATCAAAACTATAACAAAATTCTCGAACGTGATTGGTTATCACCAGTCCGATTTGAGCACCAATGGGACAGAAATTGCGCCTAATACAGGCGCCAATGCGACTAAATTTTTCACTTTGGCGACCAAATCCTGAAAATTAGTCGCCAAATTGGCGACTAGAACGTTTCATCACAACCTTACCAAGAGATATAGTGAATTAAAAAGATTTGCAAAGACAAATCCGCGGCAAACTTCCTCGTTAAGTTTGTTTCCAAAACGCAGCACATGCATCTCGATCGATAACTAGACGCCATCTTGGATTTAGGTGAGCTTAAACGTTGCATATCATCCATCCTCGTGTCTACTTTGTAGCAACTTAAAGATCTTTTCCGTTACTTAATTTCTAGAACAATGTCTGAAAATGGCGACCAACTTTTCTTGAATTGGCTACCACTTTGAAGAATTTAGGAGCCAAGTGGCGATCAGAAAAAAAAATTAATTTCACGCCCTGTTTAATCACTCGTATGATTACTGACCGAATTTGACTCAACTCGGTCCTATTACCATTATTAATCAGACAGAATTGGACGACACGAAGTCCTTTTACAAATTATAAAAACAACAATTAAATGAGAGACAACAGCGCGCGCACATGACGCGTTCTGTCCACTAACAAAGGCATGACGTGTTAACTGCCCCTTTAACTGTCCTATGACACTGTCCAATTACAAACATGACGCGAACACTGCCTTATTAGTGCTCAAATCGGGCTGGTGATAACCAATCACGTTCGAGAATTTTGATATAGTTTAGATTAGGGTTGTAATCGGGTATGGGAGAGGGAAACCTGGTCTAGAGGGGAGTAAGCAATTCTCCTAGTCACCTGATGCTACTGAAATTAACATAAGCATAGGCAAGGTTAGACCTGTGCCTCTTGTGCTGACTTTACCTCTAACCCTTTATCTCACATGAGTGACCAAGACAGGATTTCTCCTTACAATATCAATACAATATCAATCAGACAAGTTGTGAGAATATTTGTTTTGGATATTTTTTCGATTGAGCAAACCAAAAAATTCACTACTATTTGTATTCCAACAGACTGAAATTTCCCAATTTTCGAGAATTCCACGTTATTCAGTCGAACAAAGAGAAAGGAGAGGAAGGACGCGCTCAAGCTCTGAGAGATCTCATGGCCACAAAATATTAGCCTGGAGATTCTTCAACGCACAGCGTGCGTTTCTCTGAGTTGTGTTCTATTGAGCACAGTTTTCATAGTTATTAATGAACCATGCGTTTACTTCTGGGTTTGCCTCAGTGAAGATAATATCCATATGAGGGAGGTACACGTCGACAATTACAAGTATGAGAATGAATCGGCATTTTTCATCCAGCTACTGAACAAAACTACTTTTCAGGAGATCGGTGCAAGAAAGACTGTTACAATCGAAAATCCTCTGCTTGACTCGCCGACAGAAGAGGAAGTGGCCAATGATGCGATCCGAGTTGATGTGAGGCACTCCTAATCAAGTGCTTTAAAGAAGCTGCATAACATCATCGTTACTCCTATTGCTGATCTGATCGAAGGCAACGAGATAACATTCGTTCCTGAGGGGCCATTTTGCCTTGTACCTTATCCAGCGTTGCAGGACTCCAACTCATCATATCTAAGTGAATCTTTCAGAATTTGTATGCTTCCCTCTCTGACGACCTTGCAACTAATTCATGATTGTCCAGCTGACTTTCACATGAAGACTGGTGCATTGCTTGTCGGCGACCCATGTTTCAAAGATATCCTCTATCAGGGAAGACGTTTGTTGCAACCTCCAGGAGCAAGGAAAGAAGTGGAGATGATCGGACGTATCCTCAACGTTTTCCCCCTCACTGGAGAAATATCATCAGTGGCGTTAGTTCGCTTTGCAGCGCACGGTAAATGGAAACTGGAGAAGTTATCCTGGCGCCAAACACCGCAAGAGATAACCCTCAGCCGCAAGAGAAAGACTATCTACTGACGATGAAAGATGTCATGGAAGCTGGGTTGCGAGCACGTCTGGTTGTACTTAGCTGCTGTTACACTGCTCGTGGGGAGGTCATGGCCGAGGGTGTGGTCTGCATGGCGCATTCACTTTTGTATGCCGGTGCTAGATCTGTTGTGGTAACCTTGTGGGCGATTGACGACGAGGAGACCCTGGAGTTCATTAATTTCCTTTACGATGCACTTGCCAAAGGCAAGAAGGCAAGTGAAGCTCTCAATTAGGCCGTGAAGTTTATGAAAGAAATTGAAAAGTTCAAGGAGGTGATTTACTGGGCACCATTTGTACTCATTGGTGATAACGTCAACCTGGATTTCAAGGATATTTAGAAGTTGCAGTAAGTAAATACTCTGTTTATACATTCTGTTCAATACAAAGTTACATTAAATCAGAATTACTGCTTATGTGTGAGCACTGATACTTTCGTATCATTTTCCTTTCAGTTGGGTTACAAATTTATTTTTCGCTCCGGCAAATTGAGATGCAGTACAACCAAGTAGACACGTTTACGATGATAACATTCTTTTAGGAAACATGATAGGAGTAGAACTGCAAATTTGTTTAGGTAATCACATGATTTTTCTCGTGCAATTTGGAATAAATAAGCACAAGTAAATTTTTTCAAAGACTAACAAAATTGCATGAGCCCGTCCAAGGAACTGTTCAGTCTCTGTCCAAATCACTTTCGATGAAATGGAATCGTCGTTTCCGAGGTTTAACTATGTTTGTTTATAGTTTCGGCGTAGAACCGCTCGAGTTAAGCGTTAAACTGGGTCGGCTCGTAATATTCGATTTCCCTGGCAGCTCCCTTCTCTGATCACTACTTTTTCCAAACTGACAACCAAAGAGCAATGCTTTTTACAGTGTTTTCGTTGTTGGAGCTGTTTTTCAGCTGCTGCAAGATGCCGGACATTGTTTTGATCGCAGATTTTCAGCGTATCCAAATGTTGCGATATCAAAGGCTCGCATTTGATAGGCTATCTGTGAGCTTCTTTGTTTAATGACCAATCAGAATGTCTGGTTTGTTATACTTCTTTGCACTGAATTAACCCTCTTCTGCACTGAATTACCTGAAAACTGCATTTATCTTAACCAATCAGAACTGAGTATTTTTTAAATTTATATTATTAGTTTTAAAACAATCTAGTTATGCAATGCATCGTTTCATGTGCTAGAAAATATTTCATGGAAACTCGACTATCCTCCCTAAACTGATTCTTTTATTTTTCAGCCAAGGCAGTGAGCATTGGAATCCCAGAGTGTTTTTGGATACCTACAAACGCTAATATTTGGACCAGAAACCAGTAAGCTACCGATGAAATCTTTGTAAAGAGTCTTCTTTTCAGATTCAAAAGTTGACTTTTTGCTTGTCTGAATTGCTCTTACGAGCTTGATCTATGGTATCCTGCTGAAACTACTGTGTTTTTTTCATATGATGTCTTGAAATTATCATGAGTAGCTACGTAAAAAGTTATTTTTTTACTCTGAGTATTACCTAAGAGGATTAAGGCGTTACGTCTACGTCGAAGTTGAAACGTCTCGAAATCGTTTCCACAGTTTTTTTTAAAAAGATTTTTCTCAATCGGTTTTTGTCTCATGAATGATGTAAAGCTGTAACAGCCCTGTGCGTGTGTGGAGAATTTCCATGGAAATTGGAGAATAATCAGTTGTCTGATTGCTCGATTATCTTAGTTTATGTCAGATGGAAATTGTAATTAAGTTTTAGAGGATTTGTACCCAGTCACACATTACGTGCGTGTGTTACAACCTGGAATAACTCACGATTTTGAAACCGTCCGTTACATATTCATCTCTTTCTTCATCTTACTCAATAAGCACGTGAGTTCTGTCATTACCCGTTTAGGATTTGATTTGCATTGGAAAAATCAACCTGCACAATTTTTCTACAATAGAAAGGACGTTATGAAGTCGGTAAGTTATTCTGACACTTGTGTCTTCGAAACGAAATAAAAGTCACACATGAGGCAGCCAGTAAAAGAGAAAAAACTCGCGTGCCCTCAGTCTACTCGTCGCGTTTAAGCAAAACAGCTGCACGCTGGTCGGTTACCGTGCGGATTCTCTTTGTCTGCGTCTCACAAGCTTTTCAGTTCGCCTTTTTCCTCAGTTGGGGAGAAAACGACTGCTACACAGGGTAGCAAAAAAATATTGTCTTGCGCAAGACATTACCTACTTCTGTTCACGGGCTTTATATGCCTTTGTATTCTTTTTCCTTTACTAGAGAAAGATAAAGTTTTCTTTGTTTGCTCACGGGGAAGGCCTTAAGGCCTCCCTATAATGTCGCAGGATGCTCGCTTGGAGTGAATCCAATACTCTACGAGGCAGCCAGTAAAACAAATGAATAAAGGGGGTAAATTTCTAAAGGAACTGTGGTGCTGCGTCGGTGGGAGAGTATAACAGGTAATTTAGTATTAATAACTAAGTTGAAAACGGAAATTAGCCACCGTAAAGGGTAAAAAAGCTGACGTTTCGAGCGTTAGCCCTTCGTCAGAGCGATTGACACGTCAGCTTTTTCACCCTTTACGGTGGCTAATTTACGTTTTCAACTTAGTTGTTAACACTAAATTAGCCAGTAAAATACTCTCCGTTTCCAGGCTGCTTCACCGCTCATTTCAATTATGTATTCTGGGTTGCTTTCCTCAAGAAAAGGGTGGAACTACTTGTATGAGATGATCTGGGGTTCTATGAGCTCTGAAACGAGCTCCAGATCACGATCGTTTTTTCGTTGATCATTCATCAGCGCGTGGTTTAGTTGCATAAAGCAGCTGATGCGCTAAGATCATCTTTAAAACTCGCGGTTAATCGTCTATTTCACAAATGAGTGGTTTTCTTGAAGAGGCCATTGTTTAGTTTTGGCATCATTGTTATTGAAGCGTGGGGTGAAAACAATAATGTCTAACTCGAAACGCGCCATTTTCGAAAGGAACTTCGACTAAAAATTTTAAAACTGCGAGGAATAGTGGTTGTCGTTCATCAATTTTCCAAGTTAAAACGGATTCTGTTTCAGGAGAGATCCATCTTCTATTTTCCGTTCTTGGGTTTTTGGAAGCCGGTTTGAATTTTGAAAAATCGCTTTTGAAATCGGCCTTTCGTCATTTTCAAAGGCTCAGGAATAGTCTTTATACTTTCTCAAACTTCCTCTTTTTAAGCTTAAATTAAAGATTAACCCTCCCTCTTCAAAAACCCGCTCTTGGGTTTCCCACTTATGGCTTCTGGCTATTGAAAAAGCGAATTTTATGAACGCTGCTGCGCTAGTTTCGGCCCTTTCTTCTCTAATTATGGGCTTTTCAAGGCGCGAGTGCATTCAATCTCCCGCTTCAGTGCTGATGGATAATTAATGATGTCCAGGCATTCTGCGCGATGCGGTACTTAAAGTTAGTTTCTGTCGATCAGAATTTTATTTATCTGGACTCAAAATGACAGATTTTGGCCGTAATAACCAGGATTTAGTCTTGGTTTTTGGTTAATTTTCTGAGATTTCTCCTTTAATTTTGAATGCGATAAATTGTGTTATTTTTTACATGCTGAACGATTCATTTTAAGTATATTGTTTAAACTAATCACCTAAAGGCAAAACGATAAGTTTGATTTTAATTTTAGTTACTGGCCTACAGAGCATTGAAAGACGCTCAGAACGAGCTGGAAAGTTGGAGCTAAATGATTTTATTTAGTTTCTCCAATTAGACTATTTACTTATTATCTAAGTACAATAAAGTAATATTTGAATGTCAAACAATGAAACAAGTCGCTTGGCATTTTGTTAGAATGGAAGAGGAAATCAATAACAAAGGAAGGAAAATTTCTGCATCAACCTGCACAAGCCATTTCTTGTCGTTTGAAGTAGTGAGCGCGCCTATGTCTTATTCGCTTAATAAGTTTTGCCAATTTCTTTGAATAGGTTTATTGAATGAGAGATAAACTGCGATATTTTCTGACTCTATAACTGCTAGTATCGATCATTGGCAGCCGTTCTTCAGGATCTCACGCGACGCACTTCTTTAGCACGTTATGTGACGGATAGGATGTTTTGTCACATCTTGTCGTTTGAAGCAGGAGCGCACCTATGTCTCATTCGCTCAACTTTTGCCCATTTCCTTGGAGAGAGTTATTAAATGAGATATAAACCTCGACATTTTCAGATTTTTTAACTGCTAGTTTCGTTGGTAGCCGTGTCTTTGGATGCCACGCGACGCGCTCCTTTTGCATGTAACGCGACAGTTATGATGTTTTGTCAAAAATCGTCGGAAGCAAGAAAAAAGAAATTATCTTTCCCTTTGGAAGATGGTGCTTTCATCTGTTTATCGAAAGCATCCTCATCATGGGAGGTACCCTAAGTCATTGTGGTTCCTCGAGTGTAGAAAATATTGATTTTTTTTTCACGATTGCACACTTAACTAAAAGCCTGTTAAAAAATCGAAACTTTCTTAAAACTGAGGAGGGCCGACCAAGGAGAACTTTTTACGGCTGATGGTTAAAATTGGGGCCATTTCTCTGCTTCAGATAACCCAGAATAACACAAACTAACGCAGTGTAGGAAGGAAAGATTTTCAAGGTTAATTTTTTCTACAACTAAGGGTTCAGCTTTTTTGACCGACCTACGGCTAACGGTTAACCACATGGAGACCCTCGATTGGGTGACATGCAAGATGTGAAATAAAACGGTTTTAGAATGTGGCATTTGCAACTCGAATTTAGAGTGCTGGTTTATGAGGAGTAAGGAAAACTAGGAAAGATAAAACGTGGACAAATCCTGGAAGTTAGGATCAACCTAGGAGAGATGGGCATGAGGAGAGCGTTGTCGCTACGCATTCATGTTCTGTTCAATCTGAGATGTTTAATGAAGCCAACGCAAAAAAAATATATCTTGCGAGATACTCACCGACGTCAAGGCGAGCAGGGATTTCCTTCCCTCTTTAGTACCTTGTACCGGGTCCGAAAAGTCAGTAAGTCCTGATATTTTGACTTTTCTCAAAAATTGCGATCACGTAAATGTTTCAGCAGAACATCTCTGCTAACGATAGTGTATATTACAGTCATTTTAGAAAAAGATACATGGGAAGGGGGGAAGGGTGCGTCGAGGTTCCGTTTATCCCCCCGGTTTGTGAGTGTAAAGAGCTACGTGGTTTCATGGGTAGCATCACAGGACGGATTCTCAAGAATCCTAGAGCCACGATTTCAAAAGGTAATTGCTGGACTTAGACTTCTTTTGTCTTCTTAGATTTTCTCTTGGTGCTTCATAACTCTACTCCATCTACCCACGGCTGAGAGGGAAAACACTGACCGCATTCCATTTACTCTTACATTTCACCCTCACAACCACGCAGTTAAATCTATCATTCTTAAAAATTTTAAATTCTTCCAAAACGATTCGGAGACTGGCATTATCTTTTCGCAACCCCACTTATTTCATTCAAACGTGACAAAAACATAGGCAACTTTTTAGTCAGTAGTTCATTTCAAACCAATGACCAATCTGGAACTTTCAAATGCGCTCGCTCACATTGCAAAACTTGTTCTTTCATTAAGATCACTGATCACTTTACATGTACCTCCGCCAATGTGATTTACTGCGTAACTTGCACTTATTGCAATAAGTTATACATCGGCGATACAGGAAGACGACTAGGTGACCGATTTCGGGAACACCTTCGCGACGTGGAAAGAAATGACAAGGACGCATCCAAACCAGTCGCTAGACACTTTAATCTTCCTAATCATTCTTAACAGCATATGGCAGTCTGCGGCCTTTCCTTACATCTAGGTAGTTCGGAAAGCCGTAAAACACTAGAACAAAAAATTTATCTTCCAAATCGGCACCCTTAATCCCCACGGAATCAACGAGCGCTTCTCATTCAACTAATTTATTCCTGTTTTCTCGTCACCATATCCCACTAATGGCGTAGCTCCACTTTCTGCATATAAACACACACACAACCCACAATTCCTCCAATCGCTGTGACGAAGGGCTAACGATCGAAATGTCAGCTTTTTTACCCTTTACGGTGGCTAATTTACGTTTTCAATTCAGTTGTTTAAATTACCTGCTATATTCTCTCACCGACACAGCACCACAGTTTCTTTAGAAACTTACCCCTTTATGGATATGAATAATGTTGATTTTTCTCTCTGTCTAAGAAACGGCATTTGGCATCTCTTTGGTCTCGTCACGCAACGCCCTCTATTCCCAGTGAGTGAGAGACCAAACAACAGCTGCGAAGGAGACAACAGTAGGCGTGGCACCGATGAATTTTGTTTTTGCTTAGAGATTTTTAGACAATAGGGACAATAGACCACAAATAGTGTGAGTTCAGATAAATTAAATTTTTTTCCTTTCTCCTAAGGTAAAGTAGTGCGACATTTTCGTTACTTTAAAAGTTATGCTCCTTTTCTGTTACAAAACTGAAAGCGTTAGGAACACGAAGTGTCCCATCTCAAGTCTCCTAACCAAAGTAATAACTCTTGGATGCTACGCATGGCTATGTTTATCTTTTCGGTGAGCAGAACATGAATTAAATTCCAACACAGTAATGACTATTTTGTAAACAAGAAAATGTTTCCACGCCCTCCGGTGACATATGAGAACTGAGGTAACCCTTACTAAACTCGCTATAGAGTAGTGCTTGCTATTATGTTCACTGCATTGCATTGAAATAGGCCCCCCTACAACTTTACAATTCAAACGATCGGATATTATAATAGAATACAATAAACATAAAATTGATTCCCCTATGCGAAGAACAATTGAGTCTGCGGGTCTTTTGTATATTATATTCATCGCTCAGATGTACCAGTTAGGTGAGCTGAGTCTATTCTGTGAACAATATTTTTACTTCTAAGAAGCAAGAGCAATATTCATGACACAAGTGCAAGACTCTAATGTTTCACTTCATCATATACTTTATGGTTGGAAGGTGATCTTACCTTCGGGCGTCTCGCAAATGAAGGCATTTCTACTAAGCGTAGAGATACCATTAAAGAGGCCTCCATTCTTGGATATTTTCCGCCTTTCTGTCATTACCATCTGGCTAACAAACTTGCCATTTCGAAATATTCAGTCGTTCTCCACTCAGCCAGGTCCAAACCTCACCTTTCTTCTCTAAACCAATGTGCCACGCACCAGTAGTCCAAGTACCACGTTTTTGAATCTCACGGTTGATAGACTGCCATTCTTCTTCAGTTTCGATGGAGACTAAGTCACCTCCCTGACTGGAGCAAATATGCTTGTTTATATCTCAAACTCTTCCCCTTTTCGACAAGATGTAAGAGGAGTTTTTGAAACAGGTTACTTGGC